GGGGAGGGGGAGGGATCAGCCCACGCTGCTGTGGAGCTGGGGTACAGCCCTGGAGGTAACCCCCATCCTCTGTCCCCCAGGGACGCAGCAGTGCCAGCAGACGCATCCCGCTCCCTGGGCATGTCCCCTCTGCTCAGCCCAGGCTTTGCATCGCCGAGTGCTTTGCGGATGGGCTCATCCCCAGCTCTGGCGTGGACCCGCACCAGTCCTGGCCACCTCCATCAAATAACGCCACCATGACGAGCACAGCCCGGAGACACGAGGCTGGACAGTGCCCAGGGCACAGGCACCGGCCGCCCCAGCGTCTGCGTCGCATTCAAAACCAGACCCAAGGGGAAAGTCCCCATCGAGGAGGATTTACATGAGCAGGAAAGGGGCCGTCTCGCGGAGCAGCAGCTTTGCCATTTTTAGGTACAGAGGCCAAGCTGGTCGGAGCAGCCGCCGTGTTTTGCAGAAGCGAGGGCCGGCGACTGGATGTCTCCTTGCTGTTTGCAGTGAAAGATGGCCGATCTTTGCAGGAGGCTCTGGGTGCTCCAGGCGAACCTCTGGCTGATTGCTCTGGTCACAGGTAGGCATCAGACACGGGCTTCGCGTCGCAGAGCAAAGAACCCCGCGCCCAGGCGATGAGTCGGTGTGCGTCCCCCGCTTAGTGCAACAAGGGGCTTCACCCCAGTCTGGCTTTAAACGCATTCGTTTTAAATTTTGCAGCCGCCCCTCTCAGGCCTGCTTTGTGCAGGAGGTCAATCCTGGGCGCAGCGGAGCCAGGGAGGACCCGCGGAGGCTTGGGCTCAATGCCTGCCTCGGGTTTTGGGTTTTGCTTCCCATTGGGGTGCAGGGAGGGGTGCAGCCATGGGACACTCGGGCAGCCGTCTGGCTTTGGCAGGAGCCCGGTGCCAAGCGGGTGTCAAGCCTGCCCGGCTGTGGTTGCAGGTGGCAGGAAAGAAGGGTTGTTGGGGGTTTTTTTTTTACACCATTTATTGCTCTCAAAGGCCTGAGGATGGGGCCAGCACACTGCTGAGGCTACGGCCAAGCCACATCCTGGGGCTCAGTGCCCGGGGGTGGAGGAAAAAGACTTTTGGGGGTGATTTGTGGGCCCTGCGTGAACATCGCTGTGCTGTTTGCATCCCCACGGAAAAGCAGCAGCTAAACCCAGGACACAGCTCCCGTCCCCTTCCAGCCCCTCTTGCTTGGTGCAGGGACACCCACAAAAACCTGCAGCAGATCCCACCCTCAGCTGGGGAAACTTTTGCCCTCAGAGGAAAGGGCAGTGAAAGGGTTTCTGTGGGGTGGCCTCCCAAGTCCAGCACGGAGTCGAGGTCACAGCGTTTCATCCTGGCTCTCACGGTGGCTTCAAGGGAGGGCAGGGGACACTCAGCCCACCCGTGGTTGCAATGGAAATCTTGGCTTTGAGGGGTGCAAGGGCGTTCAGGGTGAGGGACCGGCCTGCTCTTTGTTCAGAAACACCAACAAAACATGGAGAGCAAAGCCCTGCGTCCCAGCTGGCCGGCTGGGGACAGGGACGCGTATCCAACGCACAGCCCAGGCAAGGTGTGTGTCCCCAACTCAGAAAAAAATGAAATGGTGCTGGAGGAGAGAGTTTGCCTGCAGAGTTGTGGGTGCCAGAGGGGAACAGGGCGGCACGGACCCGGGAGAGGCACTGGGGCAGGGAGGGGACCCCCCTGGCTGAGCCAGGAGGTCCCTGCCAGGCTGCGGGGCGGGAAGGTCTGCAGCAGGGTGGCAAGGCTCAGGCCAAAGCTCAGGCTCAGGAACTGAACCTTCTTGCTTCTTCTTCTGGGGGGAGTTTTGCAGCTGGCCCAATGTGCTGGGGGGGTGGTGCAGCCCCCGCCTCCATGCCAGCTTCCCCGTGGTGGGGTTTGGCGAATCTTCATCAAGCGGACCGAGCTGGGCACTGAAGCGGTGCGGTAAACAGGGCTGGTGCTTCCTGCCCAGCTGCAGCAAGAGGAACCGAGGCACAGGGGCAATGGAGCTGCGGGCAGGGGCACCCATGGGTGCAGGGGGCTCCCTGCCTCGCCCCACTTCCTACACTGCATCACAGGTCCCGCAGCTCCATTCAGCCCTTGTCCCAGGAGGCTGCGTGGTCCCAGGGTCTGAGAACCCCCCTGGCCATCACGGGGCTCCGAGCCCAGGGAAGCCCCGGCAGTGAAAGTGTTTCTGGTTGATTCAGAAAACGGAGAGTGTAAATAAAGAGGCATGAGTCGGTCCCGACCCTTTCTGAGAGGTGCCAGCCTAGGGAGGTATTAATAGCGAGGGCAGGTTTCACTGGGATGTCAACCAGAAAGCAACGCAGATAGAGAAGATTCAGAAGATGGGCTGGAAATAGAAGGGTTTGTGCCCAAATCTGCGCTGCCCTGCGTCCTCTGAGCAGGGCTCTGGTTGATGCTCCCAAGCCCTCCATGGAGTAGGCGCAACAGTCCCATGGTACGTGCTGACCCAGGCAGGACATCCTACCCGGGCTTGTCCTACATGGGCTCTTGGCTGCCATCTCAGGGGCCTTCTCCTCTCTTGCAGGTGGGATCTCAGCAGACAACAGCACCAGGAACAGCACAGGTAACCTCTCAGACCCCCTCTTCCCCTGCCTATGTCCCCCGTGTCCCTCCCGTCCCCACTGGCTATGCCATGAAGGTGCCAGTCCCCTGCAGAGCTGGAGATGTCCCATCACCCACAGGCTTTCTCCACCACAAAGGCGATTCTCAGGCTGTGACCTCCTCCGCGGCGTTTCCCCAGCCCTGCACCTTGCTCTCCCTCTGCAAAGCCGGATCCATTTTGTCTTTCCTAAGCACACACACGTTTGTCCTCTGTGTTTCCAGAGGACATTGCATGAACACGCCGTGCCTTGGGACCAGGCACTGGGCTCGTGCACGCAGCACTTGTGCCATTCCCACCCACAGGGTATTAAGCTTGAACTCTGCAACCCAAAGGAAACGGCCTCAAGTTGTGCCAGGGCAGGTTTAGGTTGGACATTGGGAAAAATTTCTTCCTCGAAAGGGCTCTCAAGCACTGGAAGGGGCTGCCCAGGGAAGGGGTTGAGTCCCCATCCCTGGGGGGGTTTAAAAGCCGGGCAGACATGGTGCTTAGGGTCAGGGTTTAGTGGTGGGATGGCAGGGTTAGGGGAAGGGTTGGGCTTGGTGATCTTAAAGGGCTTTTACAAACTTAACGATTCTGTGATTCTAAATTGGTCCTCAAACTCAGCAGCTCTGGGACCAAAAGAGGGATAAAAATACAAAATATGGCAAAATACAAAAAATGTGGCAGGATGAGAGAAGCCAGCTGGGGACATGGGGCTGTCCTAGCAAAGGCTCCGTGTGCGTGCCAGCACAGGCTGTCATTTTAGTGCTGGGACTAACAGGATGTACACAGAGCGGGGTGGGAGCAGCAAAAAAGTCCTCGAGGGAAGCCATTCCCAGAGGAAATTGGAGTTCCCGTTAAAAGCATGTTTTCACCAAAAGCCTCTGATTTCTACCCCCAGATGGTGATGATTCACCAAAGCAAAGCTCAATGCTCAAAAGCAGCGTAACCCATGCAAATGGAAAGCTCTTGATTTGGGAGATGGCCCTGCCCAGCCTTGTCCCCCGGCAGGCGGCAGATGCCCCATGGTGCTGCAGCAGCCGCGCTACCAGGCAGCCAAGGTGGGCACGGTTGTCCACTTCATCTGCTACTCCCCGGAGCCCCATAGCATGCAGTGGTACAAAACAGCAGAGGACAGCGATGACCTCCATGAGCTGGATCACAGCATCTCCCGCTACAGCATCGAGTGGAAAGACAAATCCATCAATTTCACCATCTTCAGGATCACCTACAAGGACAACGGCATCTATGTGTGCGACAGCAAGAACCTCACAGGGGGGAAGAAGCAGCCGCACGTGTGCGGGACAGAGCTCAGGGTGCTGGGTGAGTGGGAGCTTCCCATCCTCCATGCACCCCAGGAGGTGCTTTTTCTCCTTCTCTCACCCTTCCCCCCCCCCCTTATGAACCCCTCATCATGCTGGTGGGACCCCTTCAGATACAACTGTAGATGCTCTGTGGCACCATGGTGATGTCTTTGCTCATTGCCAGTCGCCAAGCAGCAGGACAACCTCCCTCGGTTTGCCCTGGTATGTCCATCTCACAAAAAGACATCCAGGGGCTGCAATTCCCCCAGTAAATCAGATTTTTCCTGGTTTTGGCTAGTGGTGGGTCCCGCCCAAGGTGTCTCATCCCAGAGCTGGTCACCGATGCCAGCACCAGGGGCCGTTTGCGATGCTCTGGTCTCTCCCAAGGGGGAAGGCACATCATCCTGGTCCCCCCCCATCCACTCTTGCTGACACATGAACCTGCGGCCGTGCTGAGCTCGTCCTCGTTCCCTGGGAGCCTGGCACGGAGGTGGGACTTGGAGCTCTCCCTGTGCTTCTGCTCTCAGGTCACAGTAACATCCAGCAGATCCAGAGCAGGAACACCCTGAAAGATGCCATCATCATCATCCAGTCCATCCTGCTTGTCATCTTCATCAGCGTCCCCATGCTCCTCTTCCTAGATAAAGTAAGTGGCAGCATCTCCAGCAGCAGGGATGTCCTCAGCTTTGCCACTGCATCCCAGGCAGGACACTGCCAGGGGTGGGGACAGGGAGGCACTGGGTTTGGGGCTGTTGTGTGGGAGCGTGACTGGAGTGGGAAAATAAGCATCTAAATGGGGTGTGGGACTGGGTGGATTGGCCTGTGGAAGCGGTAGGATCTGGCCTGGGGGCACGAGGCCAGGGACAGGGGATGGGGGATCCTGGTGGGTGCTGACACCCAGCCTGTGACTCTCCTCTCCATAGGGTGAAGGCAAGGAAAGCCCGGAGGAGGACCACACCTATGAGGTAATGCTGCATTAATTACAGAAGTACCCCTGTAACGTCAACCTGAGCCTTGAAATAGCTGGCTGTGCCCTTGCTGGGTGTCCACTGGTACCACCAGCCCTTGCAGGGCACATCAGGGTATCTTCCTCCCAGCTGCCTGTTGCACATCAGCTGTAAAGAGCTGCTCGTAAAGCCAAGCTCCAAGCACATCCAGCCACTGATCTCCATCTTCTCCCCTCTCAGAAGCTGCCCTGATCTCTGGAGGAACAGCCTGGAGATGGGTCCTCCCTTGAGGGCAGATGGAACCATGGCTGTGGATGGGACCATGGTCCCCCTCCTTTGTCTCAACCTCCTTCTTCTTGGTGCAGGGCCTGGAGGTGGAGCAGATGGCCACCTACGAGGACATCACTCCTTTCCGGGACGTGAAGGCCAAGTGGACAGTTGGGGAGCACCCGGGTGAAGAGTGAAGGGTCCTGCGCCCACCGCCAGGCCAGCACCAGCGGCACAGCTCCCTGCCAGCACCCTGCCAGCACCCGTGGGGACGGGCCCCTGGCTCCTGCCCTGGACCACGGCTCTGACAGGCGCCTGGATCCCAGGCTGCGATCCTGGACTGCAAGCCACCTCCAGCAGCCCTGCATGGAGCTCGGGTCCTGCTGCCTTTGGGTGCTGGCTTTGCCACGTCCAGGCTGTGCCCACCAAGGCTGCCCTGCCCTGGCTGTCACTCCTACCGCCCCGCTGATGAACCCCTAGAGCCTATGTAGAAATTAGGAGCCAACCGCAGTCCCCCCCATCCCCGGTAGCAAACTGTCCCCAAACCCTGGGCAGCCCCACACCACGGCACTGAGCTCCTGCACGGTTAATGCAATGGCAGCACCAGGGCGGGTGGTGGGTCTCCTCCAGCCCCACCTGGGATGGAAAGGAGCAGTTATGATCACTCTCCATGCTGCAAGGACCATCCTGGGCTGTGAGACCCTCGAGCAGAGGAGCTGAGCTGAGCAGCGCCATGTGGGTGCTACATGAAGCGGATTTTGGGCCACCATTTACCTCTCAAGCCATGGACACATCCAGCAGACCACGCTGGCAGTTGTCGGAGATGGAGGATCCTCCAAAAGCACCTCTTTCTCCCCAAAGACTACAGGAAGAGTTGGGGAGACAGCTCTCACCCAGACGGTCTTGCACAAGGCTTGCTCCTCTCCAGGCAAGAGCTGTCACAAGGACGTCCCCTTAGTGAGGGACACATGCGACCTCAGAACCTACAGGAAAGATGTAAATTGTGGGACACAAATGTCCGACTGCTTTTTGAAGTCCTAATAAAGGTAATGGGTAAATTCACATCCTGCTCCATCCTGCTGTGCCCAGTCCGAGGGTGTTCCATAACCCTGGGGCCAGGGTCGGTGGGATGCTCTGGGAACAAGGAGCAGCTTTTCATGGGTCCAGCTTAGCTGGAAACCAAACTTCACCCCATCAGGGCCCTGAGCGCAGGCGGGGATGTAAAGCCGAGAGCAACCATGGGGCTCTCCTGGAAGCTCTCGCTGAGCACGCACGGGGGGACCTCCACTGTCCCCAAGACGTCAGCTTGGGATGGGAGACAAAGACCATTGCCAGGATCCCAAGCAGAACAGGGCCCAGGGCCAGGAGCTCCGCTCCCAGCTACATCTGGTCTCGCAAGAGAAGCTTAAAAAACATCTGGAGAAGAGCAGAGCAGCGCTAATTGGTTTTGTTAATAAAAACTATTTTGGCACGGCAGCAGCAGCTGCGTGGGAGATGGGGCTCAGGGCTGGCTGGGCACTCAACACCAGTGCTCGGGGGGTCCGGAGAGGCACAGCTGGCACGGCACGGCGGGTTGGGCTGGACAAGGCAGGGCAAGGGGGTGACAAGGGCGGCGGGCCTGAGAGCCTGTCCTCCCTCAGAGAGCCCAGGGCCCCTGGGGCTCGCAACATTTTGGGCCCCAAGAGGACAGGACCACTCCCACTTCCCAAAACAGCCGGCAGAAAAGGGAGGGTAAAATCGCAAGCAAACAGGGTTTTTCAGCAGGGAACAGGATGGTTCTTGTTGAGGAGTAAACCACCTTCACGGAAAACTGCTATTCAATCTCAACAGCACAAAACCAGCATTTTAAGGTTGATCTTTACTAGTTAAATAAAACTATCCCAAATTAGTTGCACGCACTTGCATATAAATGTTACTTAAACATGTTTCACTTATAAAATTGGTTCGTTAAAGAAAGGAGTATTCACAGCAAGAGAAGCGAACTGGCTGTTCCCGGTTTCCACGTTTGCCAAGGTTTTAGGACTAGCAGAGCTCATCCCTCCATCCCTTGTTTTCAGTTACGAAATGGAAGAAGGCGGCAAGTTTTCCAGCCTTCCCAGTTCCCAAACGCCTTCTCAGCTCTCTGTAAACAACTCGCTCAACTGACTTAACCAAATAATACGAAAATAAGGAGAGAATCTGCTGGTTGCACCTGGAGAGGAAGCCACCGATGTCAAAAGCAGTTTCGGCGGCCTCAGTTCCGCTCTGGTGCTTGGCTACACTCTTAGCCCAGGGCTTTGGTTTCCTTTAAAATGCCAGAAGCAAATAAATATTTCTGTAGCGGTTTATTTTAAATGCTTAGACTCATTTCTAGGGAGCCTAGAGATAGAGTTTGTTGTCATTTTTATACCAAGACAGGTTTGTATTTAAAATGCATTTAATGTAAACAAATCTGTGTCAGTATATACAGTCCAGGATCACTGTTTCGTCCTGAGTTGTATCCCTACCATCAGCGGGACAGTCAGGCAGAGCGGGTTGGAGTCCTGGACCTCATCAGCCTTGTCTTTAGAAAATGGGTTCAGTGAAACTGAGCAGTTCTAGCTCCAGTAAATAAGCCCCATTGATTCATAGAATCATAGAATCACAGAATGTTTTGGGTTGGAAGGGACCCCTAGAGGTCACCCAGCCCAACCCCCCTGCAGGAGCAGGGACACTGCTAACCAGATCAGGCTGCTCACAGCCCCCTCCAACCTGGCCTGGAATGTTCCCAGGGATGGGGCCTCCACCCCCTCTCTGGGCAACCCCTGCCAGGGTTTCACCACCCTCAGTGTAAAGAACTTCTTCCTTATAGCCAGTTCTAAACCTAGCCTGGTTTAGTTTAAAACCACGACCCCTTGCCCTGTCACAGCTGGCCCTGCTAAAAAGATTTTCCCCATCTTTCCTATAGGCTCCCTTTAGGTACTGAAAGGCCACAATCAGGTCTCCCCGCAGCCTTCTCTTTTCCAGGCTGAACAAGCCCAACTCTCTCAGCCTGTCAAATTCAATCTGAAAAGGAGTATTTCCCTTCCAAGCAGCAAGCTAGCAGAGGTAGTCAACCGTCACTTGAAACTTCTTGTCAAACATGTCGTTGCCCACCGAAGTGCAGAGCCTGGGCTGTGGGCTAGCAGCTGGCTCCTCGGTCAGGACTGACTGGTTGCAGCTCACCCATCAGCCTGGGAAGGTCCTCTCCACACGACCACCCCATACCAGGGGGTCAGGAGGACCCAAGGAGTACACACGCCTTCAAGGAGAGCTGCTTCACTTGTTTAGATGCTGCTGGTGACATTCGGTGTAAGGCGAGTGGACAACAGGACCACCCTGAAGAGAACTGAGGGGTTTGGGGTTTTTTCCTCTTTCAAAAAAGAAAAGGAACTTGGAAATTACAGAGCGTCACGCTGCTTTACGAGGTGCTACTTTGGGTCACAAATGCAGGCATTTGAAAGCTAGAAAAATGCCAAGCTGATATTTGAGAGCTGCTTATGCAACTGTAATTGTGCCACTGGCGTGTGTTTGCCCAGCCCAGCATTTCACAGTCACGCACTGCCTTCTCCACGACGCTTCTGCCTCGTTTAATGCCCAAAGATGATCGGGGACAAACCAAGTCTCAGGGGCACCTCCATGCTTGACTGCAATGTAAAAAAATGTTGATTTAGCACCATGCTTTTACTAACAGAGGTAGAGAGGCAGCAGGGCAGCAAGTGATGGGCAGGACTCAGGTGCAAGGTGCTGCACCAATCTACCTGCAGTGGTAGAGCATCATCACTAACAGGCAGCAGAGCCTGTGCGGGGCCAGGGCACCTGCGGCTCTGCTCATCTCTGACAAATACTGACATATTTAAACACGATCTGGAGTGAAAAAACACACCCAGATGTTGCTGGCTATTGGGTGACAGGACACCTGATAGCTGCAGGACCCACTGTTCCCTCTTCTCTAGGGACTGACATTTACCCTGCGACACCACCACGTCTCCAGTGAGCAAACACCCGGGGGCTTCTCGGAACAGACCGCGCTCTCCCCGGCATGTTTATTAACCAGCTTTCGCACCCTCTGCCCCAGCTGCCCCAGTGATGATGCTGCCTCTCGGAAACCAGAGCCACACCAGGGGGGCATGGCAAACCCAGGACCCAGGGCAGCCAAGTCACCACCCCTGCCCAGGGAGCAGTCCCCGAACCCCAGACAAAGCGCCAAAACGGGGTGGTTTGGGGAAATTGGTGCCTTATGGGGAGTAAAAGCCCTTTAAGCCAGCCCCTGGAGTTGCCCACCCCAGGTTCTGTCTTGTTTTGTGCAAAAGCAGGGACAAGTGTGCCGCGACCTCTCCTCTTCCCCACCTCACCTCCCTCCTTCTCACACCAGCCCTCTGCCTAACCCAGAGATATTTCACATGTGGATCTCAGGCAGGAGCGAGCAGCAGCTCATAACCAGATCATCTCACAGCTTTGTCCATCTGAGGCTGTGAGAAACCTCCCAGAGCACTGGCATCTGGATTCACAGTGGGCAGGCTGGCATCCAAAGAAGCACCTGGGTATGACAGCTCTGTCGCTCCTGTGCCAAACCAGCTCACCACAACTCTCGGCTGAACTTCAGAAATTTTGGTAGCATGAAAGAAATTAAGTGAAAGAAATAGGACAGTATCCATCCAGCTCTATCCCTGCTAACAATAAATGGGAAAACAGAATCCCAGAATGTCAGGGGCTGGAAGGGCCCTCCAGAGATCACCCAGTCCCAGCCCCCTGCTCAGGCAGGCTCACCCAGAGCAGGGGGCACAGGACAGCGTCCAGGCAGGGGTTGAATATCTCCAGAGAAGGAGACTCCACAGCCCCCCGGGCAGCCTGCGCCAGGGCCACGGCACCACTGAGAAGGGTCTGGCTCCATCCTCGTGACACCCACCCTTAAGATATTTGTATGTGTTGATGAGATCCCCTCTCAGCCCTCTCTTCTCCAGGCTGAACAAGCCCAGCTCCCTCAGCCTTTCCTCATAGGGGAGATGCTCCAGTCCCCTCATCATCTTTGTAGCCCTCCTCTGGACTCTCTCCAGGAGTTCCTCATCCTTCTTGAACTGTGGAGCCCAGACCTGGACACAGTGCTCCAGGTGGGGTCTCACCGGGGCAGAGTAGAGGGGGAGAAGAACCTCCCTCGCCCTGCTGGCCACACTCCTCTTAATGCACCCCAAGATACCACTGGTCTTCTTGGCTACCAGGGCATGCTGCTGGCTCACGGTCAGCTTGTCATCCAACTTGCTTGACATCCCACTTGCTTAAAGTCAGAAGTCTTCCAAACCGGTCAGTCAGCCCTGTTAACAGCGGGCCAAGGCTGCAGCGGCAGGCAGGAAAATCAGGTGGATTTTCAACCCCCCGCAGCAAATTCCCCCACGTAAAAGCACTGATCTGATTTGGGACGGGTCTTCCAACGATGATAAAACCTTTACTTGCAATAAGCAGCAGAATATGGCGAAATCATTCAGTGCTGATCTCATCCCTAGGCAAACAACCTCCCCAACCTTTACATCTATGTATAAATGACTACAATTAGGTAGCACCATTGCGAACAGTTGTGCATTTATGCACAAAGAAGATATAGAGATGTTGTTGTGATCATGAACACATATATACATTTTAAACAGACCCCCTCCTATATAAGGGGTGGCTCAACAGTTACCTTTACGAGCCTAGATGAAAGGAGGAAACATTCACTGTCAAGCAACACCTGAGCAACTCACCGGGCAGAAATGGCTTCAGGTACTTTTCTTTATTTCAGTTTTAAAGTATTGCCAGTGCTGCTGCATGTGTAGGGTGATGGAAGATAACGATGGGGTGGTACTGTGCTGGGCTACACACAGTGCCAGCCCTACATTAAAACGTGGCAACTTAGAAATCAAT